ACGGAAGAACTGTGCGGCTGGGCTTTGTTCTACGTCGGGTGTTGGTGCTGGTGGTGGTGGTGGTGGTGGTGGCGGCGGCGGCGGCGGCGGTGGCGGCGGTGGTGGTGGTGGTGGTAGCAGTAGTAGTAGTAGTAGTAGTAGCAGCAGCAGCAGCAGTTGTTGTTTTTGTTGTTGTTGTTGTTGTTGTTGTTGTGTCGTTGTTGTCGTCATCGTAGTGGTGGTGGCGGCTTTTGAATTAGTATGTTCTTCCGTTCTCATTTCATTTCTTTCCGCTTATGCTGAAGCCCTCGGAGAGTGCCAATTCGGTACGAAGTGCGATTAGCAGGACCAACTGCTTTTTGATATGTACACTTTGTTGTCTTTATATCCATCTAACTTGTTGCCAGCTACTCAGTCTTTGTTGAACTCCTCTCCCCTTCATGGGAGGTTCAACTTGCAACGCAGCCAGGTACGATGTTAGTACAGTATTCAGCTGCTGTGGCAAAGCAAGGCAGCTTCGCAAACCTGGAAACAAACTTGTGACCACACGGACTGGATCTCGACGACCCTTTTCTTTCGCACGACTTGTTGCGTCTCTGCTCAGATCTGGAACAGGCACAAGGTGCCCTTAGATAAGAGCCAACTAGAAACTTGCTCAGAGGCTCAAGGCTGGTGCGCCCAGCCCTGCAGACCCCAAGGCCTTTCTGTACACGGCATCCTGAGCATCCAAAGCCTGGAGCTCCATCGTGATCAGTGCCTAGGCTTCGCAGCTCCGCAGAAAGGCTGCAACTTTACAGCCAAATACTCACGCTGCATAGTCTGTGATGTACACCCTCCCACTGAGCTGGCAACGCTGATATGCGACAAGTCGGCTTCTCCTGATCGAGTAGTCTCTTCCACAAGTGGTGCTGCCCGGCCTTCAGGAGTGCAAGTCTCTTTCAAAGGACATGCACTCACGCGTGCAAGCGGCAAAGCAGGAGCATTTCTCCGCCCAGCCAAGCTGGTGCGAAGCCCGTGCCTAGGAGGCTCCGCGCCAACTCCCGGCGCCTTGCAGCGCTTCGCTGGCGGGCTTCATCGCCTTGAGCCATGCCTCAGGGAAAGCTCAGCTTCTTCCACTCTTCACAACATATATCTCACAGGCAAGCGGCTACAGCGAAGCAGGACTTGTGCCATTCGTTCGAAGACCACGCCAGCATTGCCATCTTTGTCTAACCCTCTGTAAACCATGTTTTTGACGGCGATTTCCTTGGGAGCGTCCATCGGGAAGTCTTGCACCCGATAACAGCAAACAGCCATGCTTAGCCACGGTTCCATAGGAGCTTCTAGCCGCTGAAGCTCCAGCGGATCCACACCACCTCTGTCCTGAGCACATCAAAAGTTGGTGTCTAGCAGCGCCGAGCCGCCTAGCACATCTTACGGTAGACCCACAAATCGGCTCGCATGTAACGGATCGGGCCGTGGTGCGAACTGGATCAAGGGGACATAGGAAAAGACGACGTAACGGAGCGATGCATCGGATCAGGCCACGCCCCAATCGGATCAAGAAATAGGATCGGGTAGACATACAAGCACCACCCCAATCCCGGTGACGATCGACACTTTCGAGGCGCGACGAAGCACGAGGGGCTAAATGTGACGACGCTTATGAGGATGGCGGCTTATTCTAAACCTGAACCAAACCCCCCAACCCCCAAACCCTAAACACCCTGGAGCCCCAAACAGCCCAAAACCTTGAACCCTGAAATTATTAGGGTGGCTGCGCCCGCCCCCAAGCCCCCTGCTTTTTAAACAAACATAACCCTAAACTCCATGAAACCTGAACACCCTAAACCCCGATGCCCTGAACCCTGAAGACCCAAACCCAAATGCTCTAAAACCCTAGACCCTAACAGTCCTAGATCCTACAAATCCTAAACCGTGAAACCCTAAACCCTGAAATCCCGCAAAACCCAGAAGCCCGAGAAACCCTAGACCCTAAAGGCTCTTAAAAATGGCAAACCCCAAAAGCCCGCAACCCCAAAACACTAAACCCTCAAAATCCCACACACCCTAAACCCAAAGAGCCCACACCCTAAAACCACCCGTGAAACCCCAAACCCAGACAACTCTAGACCCTAGTAACCTTGACAACTCAAAGACCCTAAACCCTAAAAAGGTCTAAACCCTACAAACCCTCAAAACCCAAAAGCCTCAAAAGCCTCAAAACCCTAACAATCCCAAAAACCCTACACCTTAAAAACTTTAAACACCCCTGCATACTCCTAGACCCTGAGCCCGCAAGAGCCCCAAAACCCGAAACCGCTCATGCTTCCCACAGATTTAAGACCCTCAACCCTAACGACTTCCAAGCTAAACCCAAAAGACCTCCGAACTTCAAACCCCTAAGCCATCCTAAATCCTAAGCCGTATGGAGCCAACCCACGATCTCCGAAGCGGTCGTTCGCGTGGAAGGTCCTCAGAGTCCCACCTCCAAACGGCGCTTCCTGAGAATCCGGCCCTCCGACGGCGCGGCCGTGTGGAGCGTCCTCAGAATCCGATTGCCCGACGGCGTTCCCACGTGGAGCGTCCTCCGATCTGCACTCCCGCATGGAGCGTCCCCAAAAATCCAATGAAAGCGGTCAAGAGATCTAAATGACCGCTGGAAGCTTAGAGACAGTGATGGTCGAGCTGATCCGACATCCTGAGCCATTACGTGTTTCGGCCTGATCCTGTTCGGTGCTAGGATACTGATCCGCTACGTCTCTCAAGCTGATCCAGTTGGCTGATCCGTTACCCGACACCGTCACGCGCCACCTCTGGTCTGATACCTGCAGCTTCCCACATCTTACGCCCCTCATGATTCATATCCAAACTGGGGCCAGGCTCCACGAATTCTTCGAGAGCGAGCCCCAACAGCTCAAAAATTGGCGTGGGGTGGATTGCATCCTTCCTAAGTCATTCATATCAAACATGACCGCTGAGCAGCAAATCATCAACTGTGCCCGGAAACCACAACCTTCAGCAACTCTTGTGGCAGGTAAGATGCTGCGCATGATTCAGGAAGGTTTCCTTCCCGCAGCCCAGGACTTGAAAGTTTGAAATGGCTGGTGGGTCGAATGCGATCCACTCACTACAGGCTTTGTTTGTTCACGGTGAAAAGTAGCCGGCAAACACGCGTTGCTATCGTAAGGCAGTCCTCCAACCTGTCAAAGGCTTCGACGTACCGACCCGCGTGAAGCAATGCCTTACTGTTGGTTAGTCCCGAATCGTCGGTCATGCCTTGTGCTAGGAGTTCCTCATGATAGCGGCATGACAAACATGCACTCCACCAGCAAAACCTCACCAAGGTGAATTGCATTGTGCAGCAACAGTGCCTTTGTCAAACCCTCGCAGGCGCTGCCATAAAGTGGGCCTGAGATCTGGCAGACTTGGACAGCTCAATTGATGCATGTTGAGGCAATGGTCAGCGACATCCACTGCACTTCTGCTGCAAAAAAGCTGTCTGCCCCAATGCTTCGTCCAAACAGCAATCGGGCAGAGGCAAACTGCTCAACTGCTTCTTCATATCTCCCCATCAAATCAAAGCCTGAGGAGATCGGCGGGATTGCGAGAACATTCCGCACAAGTTTCTCCTTTTTCAAAGCGGGAGGCAACTGCCCACCGTGTCATGCAGCTTTGCGATCGTCACGTCATCATCAGGCTCTTCAGTCTTCCAACCTTCAAGCGCCTGCCATCAAGAAGTCAATTGAAATGCTGAACACCAGTCTGCATGACATGTCGCGACCATGCCTTTAGCAGCATGGGTAGGGCTTCTTCATACTGGCCCAGGTGCTTCTTGGCAATCCCCATGTTCCACAAGTCATCCTGACGTTTGCGCTTTGCATTGATCTGCCTCTGCGAGCACTGACACAGCAGCAAGCCTTGTCAGGTTCTTCATGTCCAGCTACCTGCTGAGCTGCCAGGAAGTACTCTTGAGCTTTCTCATGGTCGCGCATCCTTGCAGGTACACCACATGAATCACCACATACAGTCCCGTGGCTGTGGTGCAAGAATCAATGTTGCAAGAAGCTTTGTTGCCGAAAAGGGGCATGTTGTAAACAGTTCCAAGGTTGTTCAGCGTCGCCTTCGCTTAGACAATGCCGACAAGCAACACTCGCAGCTGCTCAGTTGTTGGCTGCAACTGTGCTGCAGGATGCGGAGGTGTGCGTTTAGCCACCTCTTCCAGCAGCACCGCAGCCTGAAGAAGAAAGCTTCAGGATGCTTCATGCAACAAATAATCGGGGGCCAGTCAGCTTGTGATCACTTGAAGCTGGAACATGCAGGGCCAGTCTTGGAATGCGGGGCAGAACCCGCGCACGAACGCAACAAACAAACCCAGGGTTTTTTGCATGCTTAGTTGCGCCCATCCCCCTTCCGCCCTGCCCAGCCGCTTCCCCCGCACCCCCCATGGTATCCCCCTGCCCCGCAAGCCGCAGCCCTCACCACACGACAGAAGAGTGGGGGTTGGTTGGTTCTCTGTGTGTCTCGCTCCTCCAGGACATCTCATGATGATTCTATACTTCCCGCGTCGCAAGCCTTCTACTGATACCATACAATCCTTTCCAGAATTCGTTTCAATAGACTTCCTTTTAGTGAGGTTTTCTAGAATGCTTCACTGCTTTATCCCCAAGACCCAAACCCAACCACACCACAGAGGAGGAGGCTTTCACCCATTGACCGGGTGGAGGTCACTTCACTCAAACAGCCTTTGAGGCAGTTTAATTAAAAAAACACCCTGCAGTGGAGAAATGAGAGGGGAAGAACGGCGCAAAAATCGAGCAATCTCCGATCCACTTTGTGGCGCAGGTGGGAATACCATAATTGATGGACCGTGCTGGAAGAAGCACAGTTCACAATTTGGATGAGCACGTTCTGCACTCTATCCAGCACTCTTAATACAGCCTTTGGAAGAAAAGCCTGGTGTGCTTTTCAAAGCAGCCCCTTATACTGGGCAAGGGCGATAGAGTCCGGTTGACGCAGTCATTAGAAATTTCTAGCAGCTGCGCAAGGACTGAGTCATACTGAATCTCTCTGACGCTTCTGGAGCCTGGAAATGTGCGCATCTGGAAGCTAAGGATCTGAGGGCCCTAATACTTCTCAAGCTCGGAATACAACACATTACAAAATCTCCAATCATTCAGCTCTAAATTCTGCAGAGATGGTATCTACAATCTTAGAAAAGCTCCAAATCCGGTGCATTCAGACATCGGCAATGATCCAAAAGCTGTCAAATGCTGTAGAATCCAAGAATTTGATATTCTGAACAGAACTTCTGAGATCATTCCAGCTGCTTAGTCTCTGGGCTTTGAAGAAAGTTTTACATCACATTGTTGATTGCGAGTTTTACGCAGATTTGTGGTTTTCTTCCAGGCTTCTATGTCCAACTGCTCAACATCATGGCCCACGCGCCACGCATCATCCGAGACCCATCCAAACGTGAGATCTTTAACCAAGACAGCGGCGAGTATGAGGACCCATCGAAATAAACGTGATGTCTGGCCCGGAAAAACGAGAAAGCAATCGCACAATAATGCGAAATATCAGCAAACACGCGCACCTGCCATCGACGCATGGACAATCACAGACATCACACAATTCATGGCCAATGCCTCTGGTTGCCTCTGCTGCTTGCATCGCAGCGTGGCACAATCCTGGAGCCACTTGACCTTTGATCAAGGGGAAGTGCATTCAGTACCTGGCTGAACGACCTGACATGCAGAAGAGGATCATCCCACGGAAGCCCACGTTCCATGCAATATGGTTCTGTTGCGGCCTTGAGGCAAGCAAACTCCATCTGACAATGCAAAGAGATGCTTTGAGGCTATACGCTTGGGAAGGCGAGCTATATGCCCCAGAAAAAACTGCTTGCTTTCTTGACTGCCTAATTCGCTTGCTCGATCTCAAGACTGAATGATCGCACGATGCATGTTCTTACCTATTTGATGCTGTGAGTGCACCACTCGATCATACTCAATCCTTCTGCCCCAAAAACGGCTTGGATTCAATCTGAAGTAGGGAAACAATAAAAACCTTGTTCACGTGATACAGCTCAGTAGTTGCTGCAATTTGCGCTCGCAAGCATATTCTGAGCTTGGATCAAGGCACATACAGCGCATCAGCCTTGTCGACGGCATAATTTTTCAAGTATGCCTTGGTCCCATCGGTGTGCGTGCAGCTACAGGCAGTCTGCCTTCTCTGATAAGTTGCAACTGCAAGATCCAGAGCTCCCGCAAGCACCTTCGGATCGCGGAAGCCTTCTTCCGAAAAAGACACCTTGCTAGGTCTCAAGGCTCTCACAAGCTACTGCCAGGAGACCTTCAAACATAAGGACGACACTCGTCTGGCATATTCGGCCTGAGGCTCTGCAGCCCGCAAGCCATCAACATTTTTGACACAATGAGAAACTGCTAGGAACTGCATCAGCCCTCACGCCAGGAGCAACACTTAAGAGTTCAAATTGTCACAACTTGCGACACAACTTGTGACGGCACAACACGCTAAGCTGAATGATGTAGGCCGTGCGCGATTTTCTGCATGACTCTCGACTATTTGCAGGTTCTCATGTTGTCCACATTCTGCCTAGTCAATCGACTGCACCGTAAATATGAGAACATTGGGATCCCTGCCCTTACTAATACAATTAGCGTACCAGGCTGCGACGGACCTGAACTGAACGCAAAATCCCTGTAATGTTCAAAAGGCACCCGATACTTCAATTGTCCATTGTCCGGTTTGTTTGAAGATTCTGGGGTCAGATTTCAGAAGTCCAGCTTCTGCCGTCCCGCTTGTCTTACATCCAGACACATTCTCAAAACCAGGCTAGCTTCAGGCTTGCTCATCGTTGCTCTCTTCGTGATTTGAATATTTTTGAAGGGCTCGGCTTTAGGCTTAGGCCCTAGGCACGAAAAGAAACAGCAAACGGAACCATGGGAACCATCCAGTCTGAGGCCTCGTAGCTTTGCAAAATGCGCAAATTTTCCTGCGGACCAGACCTTAGCGAGGCTTTGGCAGCGAGGCAAGCTGGCGTTTTGGATGCGTATAATCCTTTCCCTTTAGAATCAAAACAAACAAAAACGAACACGGGGCGCAGCGAGCGCAGCTGAGGCGGCTGCATGTAATCCTTGGATAATCATGCGCAACACGGCATCGGAGGCAAGAGCCAATATTGCCATAAACCAAGCTGAGCATCATGTTCGGACCAAACCTAAGCTAGTAGCAAAAGTTATGCTTTTCGAACGTTTTGGCCAACATCATGCTGAGTCTGCAGGCCAGCTCTGACTTCTCGAGGGTTGCAAAGGGTGGTGGACCCTGTGCCTTTGCTGCTCCATCCTCAGGCGGCATCATGGATCTGAGCACCTTGGCAGGCACCACAGCCTATGAATCCTGTAATAGACAGTTGCCGACAACGGCGCGCACATGGACCACATAAGGTGCGCGCCACCATTAAAGCTTCCACCTGGCCAACATTGCCTTTGAGGACGTTTACCGCCAAGGCTGCACAGGCAGTTTCCACCGCCTCCTCGAGCGGCATGACACATGACTCCAATGACAAACCAAGGTTGGAAGGCCTGCCTCATCAATGTATGCAGATTTGACAAGCGCCTCAGCCAGAGCCAGATAGGGAAAGGCAGGATATCACCAGGGTCTCACTCTCCCTAAAATCCCTGAATTGATGCGGGGCACTCGTGGAAATTCTGTGTGCACCGGCGACAACTCCATTGTGTTGGCAGCTTTCGCACGCGTGACATGCCGACGAAGCTCTGGCCCCTCAGGAATCAAAGAAAAGTCCCGACCGGCGTGCTCCAAGAGCAGGAAGAAGGCAAACCCAGCGAGGGGCCATCGGGACTTGTTCATGATCCTCATTCAGAAACTGTTTGAGCAAAACCCTGCAGCAATGCAACGGGCTGCTGATGCAAATGATGTATTATATGTATCAAAATGTATCAGAATAGCTGGCGAGACTACAAGGCCCAAGTGCGGCAAGGCCCGAATCGTTGAATTAGCTACTGAGCTGAGGTGGGGCCAACATGTCCTCGACAAGCGACCTGGTACTGAGATTCCTGAAAACTGTGGTGCCAAGCCTCAAGCTTATGCGCCGCTCAAACGGAATCATACAGGACTTTGGGATTGTATGAAACTAGAGCGGCGTATGCTTCCAAACTGGCTATATTGAAAGTCAAATGTGGAAGCTCGGCTCTAGAGCTCTTGAGCCAGACATTGATAATTGGGCACCTGCTTCCAAAGATTTCGACTGTGCAGTCACGTTTAAACTCCTACCTGTTCCTGCGTCTTCTACTGTTCAACGTCCTGGCCAGGAAGGCCGAGCGTTCAACGTAGACATTTTTTCGGTGGTAGCTAGCTGTCGTTCTTGGCGACTGGATGCCGCGACTCTACCTGTCTGTATGGGCCTTAAAGTAGTCTGGAGCCATCAGGAGCCAACGCTTGAAGCTCGATACTGAAACCTCCATTTTTGCACGATACATCTGTCTAACCCAGTGCCAAATGGATCCTCGTTTACTGCGACATGTGCAAGATTGGTTGGGCCCAAATAAGCACAGAACTTCAATGCCTGAGCAGCACCCAGCCTCACAGATTTGCAATCCTGCAATGGCAGTGAAAACCTGGCCAAGTTGTCACGGAGCTCCAGACACGCTTGGTCTTGTGTCACACAGCGAGCACTTCATGCCTTAGTAATGGAATACAGCTTGAAGACTGTCCTGGAAGTATACTCTCCCAACCTCGACAGACGCCATCCATGTACACGAGATGTCGTTGCTGGTTGGCCTCCATCGTACCGGGCTTCCAACTCCCAGACCGCAACAACCTGCTTTTCAGCAAGATTTGGCAATTTCGGCAACGACACCTGCCTACATTGCAACTGGCATCAGTGAGCCAGGCGTTGTCACGCTCTGCACATGCCGAAACATTGCTAAGTCAAAGGGCATGGGAATGACGTCATCTGCGCCACATGTTTATAAACCATGAACGTCGCAGAAGGGCGCACAAAGTAGGCTCCAAACTCTAGACCATTCTTGCCTGGAGATAGACACAGACAGTCTCATATTTCTCATAAACATTGCACCCATGATCTTGACATACACCAACCTTGAGCCTTCCAATAGGTCAAATAGCCACGTGGGACGAAGATGTGAAGCACACTGGCATTGCCACTACAACTGAGCAGTTCTGCCATCAAGCAAATGAAGCAAAGGCTTGGGAGGGGAAAGGATAACTCTTGTCATCATCTCAATGATTCCAGCAATCCTAATCAAGTTTTGGGACCTCTAGAGGGAGCCAAGAGAGGTTTTGAGGCAGCTTCTGCCGTCACCTCAAGCCGGACAAACAAGCCCAGCAGCAGGCCTCGCCCCGTCGAACAACAGCGACCAAAGCCCCTTTGAGCAACCCAGAATCGATGTACCTGCTGCGTCAGTCTGCACCTCTTCAAAGTTTCCAGAGCAGAGAAAAGTTTTGGAACCTCTCGCTGAAGCTTTGTGTCATGTCCTCCAGCTTGACTGGATCAAGGCCAGTTTCTTCCACCTGCCCACCTAGGCTCAAAGGCAAGTACGGTCCAGGTTGGCTGGAATTTGTCGCTGTTTAAGCACACTGCAGCGCACAAGCACCCTCTTCAGCTTTCTGTTGTGACGCCTGCCCAGCTGATGGTGCTCATTTTGCTTGCTGCGGCTCTTTGGCGAGGCCTTGCCGAAAGGCGGAAAGCCAAGGAAGTCCTCTGCAAGAAGCCTTTGCAGCGACTGTTCAGCAGGGTCAAGCCAAACCGAAACAAGGTAAAATCATTTTCTAGGACTCCTGCTTAAGTAGAGCGCAAGACATACTCCTGTGAACTCAAGAGCCGCTCACAGTGCACATTCCTCAGCCCTTGCTCCGTGACACCACAGCTCCTGCGACAATTAGGACGCGAGGCTGTCCACTCAGAAGCGCTCCAGTTTGCATATCGCTTTCCTGCACGCTGCGTGAGTTCGCGCTTCTTGTTCCTCTTCTTCTTCATCATCATCTTCATCTTCATCTTCTTCTACTTTGTCTTTCTGCAAACGCTGCCGCTCTCTCTCTCTTTCTTTCTTTCGGTCGGGCTATGGGGGCAGGATTGCTCCTACCCCCGGGCTTCGATGCCCAGCCCGTGTTGGGCTGTTTGTGTTTACACCTGTCCTGGTTTCATAGTGGGGGCATGACCCTTCGTTTTAAATGGAGTAAGCACTTAAAGGGACCTCTGCATATACTTCAGTGCTGCCTTCCCACCTGAAACTGTGTTTGCAAGTCGTTTGCTTGCAGCATGGTTACCTTGGGGTTTCCTGCCAGGACTAGTGGACACAGAAAACCAGACCATTTCTAGGAGAAGAGTTTATTGTTGGCCACATGCATCATTTGTTGGGGTTAACTGTGCAAAACAGCTTGTGTACTTTGCCTAGTTCCCCATTATCTAGTGGCTTGGTGCACAAAATTGTCACCTGGCAGGTGATTTCTCCTCGGTTTTGCTTCATTTGAGCTACTTGTTTGCCAGGATTACACCCTTTTTCCCCCTTGCAAACAAGGATGAGTTGCAGATCAGGGATATGTAGTATCACAGGTGAGTTGCAGAAGTGGATTGTATTGGGTTCATGGGGGTGTTGACTGGCTTGAGGCCTTGCTGTCCAGGTGTTGCCTTTGATCAATTAGTGGGGTAATTGCGCAGACAGCTTGCAAGGATTTGGCGGCTCCCTTTGCATTTATTAAAGAAGTCAGCTGTTGTTTCTTGGCAACATTCCTGGTGGCTTGGCCATGTAGAGTGATAGAGCTCTCTCTCTCTCTCCACACAAAGAGGCCACTTCTCCTTTTTCTTCTCCTCCCATTTCCCATTGGCGAACCCAAGCCCTGCTTCCGCCTCTTCTGGACATGCTCAGCCATCCCAAAAGTTTACTCTGTGTCGGAACGAGCTCTGACGTGCTTGGAGATAAACTTGCAGCCACGTTTGGTGCGCCTTCTACTGGGTGTACTGATGATTCTGGGGTCATGCACTTGGAGGCTTGGCAAGCCCGAGGGGCGCGTGCAAAGTCCGTTGGAAGTACGCACGGTCTTCTGCGCAAGCTGAGATGCAATTGTGACACCGTTTGCAACATAGCTGGCCCACTTTCTGCTTTCAGCCGAGCTTGAATTCGCCTGTTTTCAGGCGCTCGAGCAAACACAAATTGCATAAGCTGCTCGTCTGGCACGACTGTACACGCTGCCTGGCATGTGTGAATTTCGCTACACTTACTTGGGGGTGGTTCGTGACATGCGCTCAGTCTTGTAACAAGTAAGCCGAAAATCTTTCAACAGGGCACTACAGGCCCCTACGAGTGAGACAGCGGATTCCTCAGCATGAACTGGTTGTAGTCTTTAAAACTGAGCCGCAGCGCCCAATGGGCCATTTCGCATGAGCCAGGCTCACGATGACAAAATGCGGCGCATGCCTGTCCCAGCATTTGTGAGCACGCTGGGGCTTAAGGTGAAAGAACGTGAACGACGTGAAGTCCAGTGCTGGTCTGCTAGCAGTCGTCTTGTTGATGCCGCTCTCAGAGTGTAATCATCAAACACACTGAACTGAACTGACTGCGTTGCAAAGGTGAAGGTGGAGATGCAGTATTCAGCCGTGCCTCATCCCAGCATTCTTGCTGCATGCGCTCCGAAGTAACTCTGCTTGCCACCGTTTTCTGGCAGTGCCTCAACTGCGAGACGTGTCTGCAAAGCCAGCATCAAACTGGACCTGAACGCCAGGCTGCAGGATCTTTACGCATTATCGGAGGAAGTGATGCACCAATCGGAGCTGCCAGCCCGGGCATTTCGGGACGGCCAGGAACTGGCGTCTGCTGCATGCCTGCCAGGATTCATTGCAGTCTGCTTTTCTGGTTTTGAACTGCCGCCTGGCTGGTAGCGCGCCATCTTTAGATATCGGGCACCAGGACCTCAAGCACAAATGCAAACTCTGCGAAAAGAAATAACGCGCACACATCTGCTGCCCACGGCCGCCACGCTAGGGACAACAAAAAGTAATACAGGTGCACTAGCATTTTCTATCTGCGGCCAGTGTGGCTTTTCTTTGCGCTGGAGCTGTGGCCTTCACCCCTGTGGCGGCAGTTGCACAATCAAGCAACGATAGCTGACAGCTGCAAAACGTGGTGGCCTCAGGGGTGGCAAGTTAAAGCCCCTGGAGCCATTTGCATTCTCCTGCAACGAGCTCCATATCTTTTTTGGGACTTCCTATTGATCAACACAGCATTCTGGAAAGCCGAACACCAACCCCCCGGTTTCGGGGCCTTGCCAGAGTGCTCTCGGCCAGTGCTTGGATGACTGCCCTCAGCAGGGAAATGCACCTACGCTGTTGCGCCTGGTGCATCCCCAATGCAAAAATTGCGCCCAAGGCACATCTTTCCAGCTCCCCCTCGTGCCTTGACTTAAAGAGCTGGATCTGAAGGCAGCTCCAGACCGACAAGAATGCATCGATCCAAGGCCAGCTTTGAACCCATTGCAACTTGTTTAAACTGCGCCTGACTTACAACATGCCACGCGCTGCTGTTGCGCTTGAGCATCAGCATCAGCATCAGCATCCCAAAGCCTCGCACTGATCTTGTTCGACTGCTTCCAGGCCTCTCCATCAACGGGCCCGCAACCTCTATCTCCGGGTCAACCGTGTCCACTCCAGGCCCGCTCCCTGCCCCACCTGCCCCCTTCCCACGATGTGACCTTCTGCGAGGCTACATCTCACTCTGCAAGAGACCCGCGACCTTTCGCTCCCTGTCCGCTGACCGACCTCGCCACAGCCTCTTCGACGACGCCGCTCCCGACCTTGCTCCTTGCAAGTAAGACAGCTAAACGAGAACCCAGCCTCAGAGGAGTCCTCTGAAAAAGCCACACTGCAACTTCAAGTCATCATGTTCGTCATGATGGCGGAAGATTGTGCAGTCCCAGAGAGGTGACGCAAAAATTGAATCATCTTTTCCACACGAACTCACACGGCGAGAAGGTGGCCTTCTCGTCTGCATCCCATTCTATCGCTGAATGAAGCTGAAAATGAGAATCCTGTCAATGGCTCCACGAGATGCTCAAAAAAAAATGACCTCCAAGGTTTTCTGGACTGTTGTTGCAATCTGATGGTATCTGGTCTTCATCCTTGGACCGAACCAATGGTTAGGAACGAGGGGCTTTGAGCTTGCATCCACTTCTGTGCTTTGTGTTGAAGTTAGTTGCTCCTTTAGTCCTTGACACTCCTATCTGTTCATGTGGTTGCAATGCCGGCGCATACTGGTTTCACGCATGGAGTTCTGCCACACAAAAATTGTATGTACTTGCAAACCCCCAGGAGCGCACGTCTACACTTAAAACACTCGGCTCGTACAATTAATGAGAGCTAATGCTGCGGGGAGGGGGGGAGCAGGCCTTTGCCAGGATTTTCAACAAAGCCAAATACCAAAATGTTTTGCAACAGAAAGCAATCCAACCTCAAGAAAACCTGTTCGCTGAATTTCAATGTCAGCACATGCACTATTTTGGACATACGTGAAATATAAATTCTAAACATATAGCAACAGGCATATTAATACGGACACCCGAAACCGCCTACAAGTCCCTAAACCCTAAACCTCATTGTAGGGAATGAGAATCCCATAACCCTACACTTCATGAATTACAAGGTGCCTCTTTGATTTAAGCCCTGAGCGTGCTACAGGGAATGGGGAACCGTCCCGCCTCCAACACTGAAAAGCCCTCATCCCTAAGCCCAACAACGATTCCTTTACAGTTTTAATCTCTGTCAATCCATCGTTCAGACGTACAAAACATCTGAGGGTTTTTATGGTGAGCGCGAGCGTCCCGATTACACCCCATGTCTTTGATGTCAACCCTAAAGTTGTTCTAGCACATGGTAACCTGTCCTAACCCCTAAGAAACAGGTCGGTTTCCAGGCTAGGGTTTATACACGAGCAATGACACCCATGAAACCCCACACCCCGGCCCCCTGAGCGCTGAACCCAGTGAATGTGTAGATTAAGCCAGGCCTTCTCGCCCTGAAATCCAAGAAAAGATCAGGACACTAAACCCTAGCTTAATTCAGCCTCTCATCTGAACTTGAGGAAATTCTGAGGAATAGGCACTGCGTTCCAACCATAAACCTTAAGCCGGGGAAATTCAACGCCTTCACACCCCTTTGCGAGTAACTGGCTTCACTTCAGCCGTATCTGAATATTCCCCAGTTGACGTCAATTTTATAGACTTTAAAATCCCAAGCCCCACGTAAAAGGCCACTCACTCTCGATTAGATAACCCCCAGTTCAGTTCTTAAAACATTCCTACTTTGACTTGAGGGGTCGTGCAAACTAAAACTTTCCAACTCTTACACACGTCCTCATGCTTAAGTGTTGGCGCCTGACAAGCCTCTCTTGTATTTCTGGGAAAGCCATTTCATAAAATCCTACAGAGCTTGTTGGAAAGAGGGCCTTCCTACCCCTACACCCAAAGCCTGTGGTAAGTCCTGAAACTCCTAAACGGCCCTCATTGGATCCTATCAGATCTCATCAGGGGCAATCTTGAACCCGACCCCCTGTTTGGATCCAACCGCCCCCTATCAGATCCAATCGGGGCCTGGATTGAAGATTGAAGATTCAAGATTCCTAGCCAAGTCTTCGTGAAGATCTTTAGATATTTTTAACCTTTAACCCAGACCCCTCATTGAATCCAACTAGATGTAGGCTGAAGATTGAAGGCTCCAAGGAACCAAGGCCTAGCCAGCCGTATCTGACAAGTAAACATGAATATGCCCCAAAAATTAACCCTAAATCTGAGCTCTTAAGACGGCATGTTCATATTTAGATCCAGGTTCGGAGACTAGGGGAATAAGTCCCAGCCGGGGAAATGGGTCCGATCGGCTCATTTTCTGGGAGGGCAGGGGGGTTCAGCGTGGGTCTGAGCTGCAGGACACCCCTTCGGTACCTTGATCGTGTTTTTCTGACGGGGGAGGCAAGCCGGAAAAAGGGAGCACGTGTGCTGGCTTTCAGTGGGCATGGGTGGGGAGGGAAATGTCTGGAAGAGGGCTGGGTCTGCAGCTCTCCTCTACCCTTGCCGAGGCGGTCCCGCGTTAGCGGTTCAATTAATGTCAGAAAAACCACAGAAGTGGCCTATATGACACCTGCTCAACGAAATCCCCTGTCCTGGCTGATTCCTCATTCCTGGCCTGGGGCTTACACAAGGATCTGAGGTTTCAGTTCCTACCATTCTATCATTGATCTTTCGTTTGTATTCTTGTTGCTTCGTTCACCCCGGTAGAGCGACGCTGTTTTGTAAGGCCTCAGCTTTCCAAATGCGAGTGGCACAGAGCACTGAGGAGGGTGCCCGCAAAGTTATTGCTGGTGGTAACATTTCCGGCCTGCAAGAGTCTTGTCAGTCAGCATGCTAGATTCTACAATCCTCTTCACTCTTTCCATGTCAGAATCTGTCTGTCCTCCGTTCTGTGAGTGGGTTGAATGGACAAAATGCCAAGTGGCAAATCTACAGCAGCAAATGCAAGAAATTCAGAGGAAACGCCTGCACCGGTGCAAATGGCGCAGGCTTGGAAGCCATGCCGGGAGCCCCGGGAGCCCCGGGAGCCCGAGCAGGTGTTGATTCTGCGCCGCCTTTCGCCTTTCCAACTCCAACCGCTCATCCGACTCTGCTGAAGCTGCAAGATCCGCAAGCTGGTCACTTAGCCCAAGTCTGGCAAATGGGGAAGCTGTGAGCCTGGATTCTGCTGTGACCTTGCGAGAAGGGCAGATGATAAAACGCGTTCATTTTGATTCAACATACTTAGACTCTGGCTCGCTTAGTGCTACCTCAAAGTAGGGATGCTTCAAAACCTGAGCGGTCGAAGGTCTCTTTGCAGGATCCCAAGCCATCATAGCCTCAGTGTGCACAAGGCAGTGCAAGAAGACTTGGCTGTAGGCCAGCTAATACTGTCTGAGAGCTGAGCCAACATAATGCCAATACCATCAGCATTTGATTGAGGCACCAAGGTTTCGAGCTTCGTTGGCACGAACTGTGGGAATCGATAGTTTATCCTGAATATCTGCGATTCAGTGCACTAGCTTTCCCGTCTGACGGTGCCCGCCAAGCAACTGGGATGCAAGTTTGAAGCCATCAGGCCAGCTCGACGTGGTTGGCGTCCCAAGAACAGAACAAATCCTGGTGCTTCAGAGCCCGCATCCTCCCCAAAACAAGTCAAAGTCTGGCTTCTACTAACACAAGGGACGGCCGAGGCTCTTGTAAAGCTCATCGGATTCTGAAGAGCCCGGGAACAAAGGTCGCAAGGTGTACAGCTCTGCCATGATGCCACCACACGCCCAAATGTCAATGGGCGAGTTGTACGTGGAGCCTGAAATAGCATCTGTCTGCCATGCGCGTGTTCTGACAGAGTCTAACAGGCATGCACGTAAGGATCCGGCTTCTCAAGAGAACCTAAGTTGGGATAGGCCAGATAGACAAACAGAAAGCCAAAGCTAAACACACGCAGTGCAAAAGATCCTGCTTTGGGGGGCCTCAGGAGCGCGGTACCAGCGAGTTGAGACATAATCAGTGAATGGCGGTCGAGCTCGAATTTGTCGCGCAAGGCCAAAGTCAGCCAGCTTCACCTTATCGAGCTCAAGGGGTCAACGGGCTGTGAACATGAGAAGGAGGCCAACGAAAAGCTGAGAGGCAGTGTCTCCGGAGATCAACACGTTTTCAGGTTTCCTTGGTTGTGCTGCGCTGCCCCGATGCTGACACTGCAAAGCGGTGGCTTCATGCATGTATTTGCCGAGGCTCATGTCTCTGTGAAAGTATCCGGTTTTGTGCACAAAGTGTAGGCCCTTGACACGAGCAGGAAAATTCTCAAGCACCCCAGAAACCACAGGCTCCCGGCTCCTGGCCTGCATCGTCTGAAACATAATGTTCCGGGTCTTCGATTCAGGCAAGGGCCGAACTCTCGACTTCATGAACTCGTACAGATTCGCCTGCCATCCCAGTCTGGCATGGCTAAAGTCAGGGTTGACACGCTCCAAGTTGTAAGTCAAAACTTGCCTCCATCATCTCGAAAACCATATGGAGCTCGTCATTTTCTCTGATCACTTCTTTCAGCTTGACAATGTTGGGATGAATGAGCTGCCTGCATCACAAGCTCCAGTCTTCCAGTCTACAATCAGTATGGGCTCACTGAACCGACGGCCTGCCTGAGTGACTGGATTTCCCGGAGCTTCATACACTCTTCCCAGCTGTACATCCTGCGTTGCATCTGTCAGGCTGCTTGCACACATGAGATATCCGCTGCATGGCCACCTCGCCCTCGCAAAACTGTTACTAAGCCAATGCGGCTGAAGCTCTTCTGCTTCATCTTCTTGATGGCAACTACCTGACGGGATTGGCTTTCTCAGATTTCCCTACTGAGCTCCTACTGCAGACGTTCAAACTTCTGCACGTCTACTCACCTGCAATCTGACAACGGTGTCCAAGCTTGCCCAAACTGATCAGATAAGTCCGCTGAAACCATTTATAAATGAGGTCCGGCGGGTGCTGGGCTATCGGGTTGGGGTGCGCGCACCATCAAGGCAGGCACGAACCCTGGCCTCACCAGTTTGCTTGTTTTGGGCTCGCAAGACAGATCCATATGTGCCATCGCCCAGAACTTTGGTGACCTTTACGACTTGCTCTGCAGGTCACTTGCGTGGCAGCTCCAGCCTGCCTTGTAGCGATTCATCGCCAGGTCTGGACCAAGGTCTACTGCACTACTGCAAATAACAAGATGTTGTTTAATGGTCTGTTGCTAATCTTTTCCTGAAAAAGAAACCCCGGCAAGTCTGGGAGAAATACCTCCTTGCCGTGGATTTCCAATTGCAGGCTATTGAGTCGTGAAGCTACGCAAGATTGATTGCCATGTGGCAGCTGAAGCATAGAAAAATGCTTCAGCACAGGAAAAACGGCAAATGGGCCTGGCGAGCCCTGAAAGCTGCAGCCTACAAGCCTTGCAGTGCACAACGAACGTCTTTTCCATTGAGCCTCTGCTCCAAGCACGCATGCCTAAACTACTACAAATGGGATGCCTGAGTCCGGCAGCCTTCTAGGCCAACGCTTTGGTTAAGATCACTTTGGCCACGCCAGGGCTAAGTTGCTCACGATGTTTCTGCTGATTTCATGTACATTCAAGCCCTGGCCAAACCACTTTCTGTCCACATGCAACGCTAGCATCTGGTGGCTGATAACCTGCACCAGCTACAAGCTCAGCCCTGCACTCCGGGGCAGCGCCATAAAACAAAGCATAACAAATCTATGAGTACTGGCGCCTTTGAACCTGCGCAGGCCATGAAACGCTGGAAACATGCCGATCTGAGCAGCACGTTGCAGGAGCTGGTACTAAGTAAATACTACAGTTAAAGTACATGCTTATGAACCCTGATCTCTCTAAGCCATTGGCTGAATTGCAGCGTGCGCACAGCACGTCAATGCGCGGGCAAACAACACATATGTGCAACTCGCGTCAAAGACGCTAGTCAGCCGTTAGTCCTAGGCGCATCTCAGGCGTCCCCGGCAGACTTCGGCAGCTCCGTGATCTTGCCAATGGCAATCGTTCGTCCGTCTACTCGCAGCGTAAATCGACCAAGCTGTTGTGACGAAGTGAACGTATCTAGGGAGGTCGGCCGCGCAAGCTTGATGCTGCAAACAACAACTGAATCAGGCCGAGCAAACTGAGGGTTCTTCTCTTTCTTCTTGGTCTGAATGACCATTGTCTCGTACAACTTGAGAATTTCACATTCTTCGCTTGCAGTATGCGCGTGCATGACTGCAACATACCCAGAGGTCATCACAGGTCTGTCAGGTCCGAGCTCAATCACGTGAATCGTAGCTTTGAACTTTGATACAACAGGAATGGGACCCTTGTCCGCGCACAAGACATAGCCCTTCTTCAGCTCCTCATCACCAATCCCTGACATCTTTAGCGTAACGTTCTCGCCACACGTGGCATATTGCATCTCGACATCGTTGATAAACACTGCGGTCACTTGGCACTTGTTATTGGTTGGCATCACGACACATTTCATGCCAGGCCTCACAGTACCCTGCTCTATCTTGCCGATTGCTGTCACGGCACCCATGTCCTTGTAGCCCTCCATCATCGGAATCCGCAAGGGTCCATCTGCTTTTCGACCAGCAACCGAGATGCCGTCCAGTGAGTCAAGCAAAGTCAAACCCTTGTACCAAGCTGGAGTGCCTTTCCTTTCCTTGATGTTGTCTCCCATCAACCCTGACATAGGGAGGAAGATCACCTGATCATCCTTGTAACCGCTCTTCTTGAGAAACGCACCAATCTTCTTGACGATGTCGTTGTACCTGGTCTCGTCCCATTGAACAGTGGGATCATCCATCTTGTTGATTGCGATGACCAACTTTTCAACTCCGAGAGTCTTTGCCAGCAAAGCATGCTCACAAGTTTGCCCTCCCTTCTCAAAACCCGTTTCAAACTCCCCCTTCCGTGCGGACACAAGGAGCACGCCAACGTCAGCAGCCGAGGCTCCTGCAATCATGTTGGGAACATACGACTTGTGGCCGGGGGCATCCAGGATGGTGAAACGCCGATTCGTCGTTTCGAAGGCGGCGCGACCCACCTCCACGGTCTTGCCCTTCACCTTCTCCTCCTCGCTGGTGTCCATGATGAAGGCCAAAAACCAACTTTCTCCTGCCTTGTTGGCAGCTTCCTGCTTGTACTTCTCGATTGTCCGTTCATCGACCATTCCACAAAGGAACAATATGTTACCACAGGTTGTGGACTTGCCTGCATCAACATGGCCAATGAAAACCACATTGAGATGGGGACGAGGATCAGGTACCTTTCGGTCACCGTCTTTTCCATCGACTTTGACCTCTACTGCTGCCTCCTCTGGCTCCTCTTCTTCTGGCGCTGCTGTTTCAGAACCCTTCGGTTCGGGCGCGGTGCTTACTTCCTGCACTTTGCTTGGTTCCGGTGCTACCTCCTTCTTTGAAGGAGGCTCCGGGGCCGGTGCAGGAGTTTCTGCCTTTTCAGCTTCTGCCTCCCAATCGTCTTCTGGCTCCGCGGGCTTTGGCTTCTCTTCCGGCTCCGCTTTGGCTTTAGGCTCAGCCTTGGGCTCGGGTTTGGGCTCGGCTTTGGGCTGGGCCTTTGGCTGGGCTGGAGGCTCTGGCTCCGGCAATTCACCTCGCTCAAAAGCTTCTGCGCGGGCTTTGGCAGCAGCTCGAGCCTCCTCCTTCAACATGTGAACGAAATAGCAGTCTAACACAAACAATATGGAAACCGAGCGCGGTAACCACAAGACAGCTGTGTGTTGGCCTGCTGCTTCAACATCTTTTCTTTCTTTTCAGCTGCTTTTCTCTTCTGCTCAGCTTGATACTCCTCCAAGGTCATTTCCTGGCCGCCGGGAGAGCTCCAAACAAAGCTTCATGTGGTCTTCAAATCTTGGTTCACGATGAATGCTAGCATGGCTTTCAAGCGTGAGTATGTGACCCACCCATTCGCCTCAACATCTCAGGACAAACCTGCACCGACTTAATCTCGCCAACCCCAGCCCAAAAGGACCACACCAAAGGTACAGAGATAGCAAGATCCTGCCAAGATGCAGTCGGCTGGTTCTTTGCCGCCTTCCCACCTCCCTTGCTTCGTTCCTGGTGTGAAATCGCCGCAAAGACATGCAAAGAGAGGAGCTGGGGCTGTTACTCGGAACGACAATCAAGAATGTTGCGTTCGTGCAAGCAAGGCTCGCTGGTGCCACCAAGTCCTGAGCCTCCAGCGCTGCCCTTCCCACTACTTTTGCCAAAGCCTGCATGAGTCATGAGTCATGAGTCAGCAGCGAAGCCACATGCACCCAAAGACGGCATACATGAACGACTGGTACACTGGTACCAGCTCGTCCTGGCCTTGGCTCTGGCTTTGATGACCTTGTGGCTCATGCTGGCCCTTGCCGCCCATGCCACCCATAAAGCCTTGGCCCTGGCCCTGGCCCCCCTGGCCCTGGCCCCCCTGGCCCTGGCCCTGGTTGAAGCCTTGGCCGTAGCCCTGCCTCGCAGTGAGCAGTGCAAACGCAAGCCCCTCATCTCTCAGAGTCAAACGCAACAAAACGCAAGAATCGCCACCAGCTTAATGCTGTCATGGCTCTGCTGCGCCATGTAGGCCTGCTGCTGTTGCCACATCTGCTGCTGCTGGTACATCATGTTGGGGTCGTAACCATAGCCTTGCCTTGGTGAGCTGCGCCGCTGAACACACCGCTCGGACAACGAGCGCAAGCTTCAAGCCACTGCGTGAGCACTCTGCAACCCACGTTCCAACCCTCAACGGTGGTGGCCCACACCTTGTACCAGGTCTAGATTTCAGGCAATTGCCACAACAATTTTGAGGGTGATGGTGGTAATGATGACGAACAATGACCGATGACGAGCGACATTTAGGACGAGGAGGGCAACGACGACGTACGACCACACATCGCTTATGACCAAAAACAGAAGCGACAATAACGCAAACGACGACAACAATGATTAGGACGACTCACGCACGCCTTCGCAACAGCTCCAGGTGCTGCCTTGCGAAGACTAGAAAATTCCCATCACCTTCCAGGAGTTTTATTTGAGAACCTGGTAAACACTGATCCGATTCAGAAGCACCAAGCGGATCCAACCCTGTGACTGAACCAGAGCTCCAAACATCACAAGTAACCTACGCCGTGCCAACTGTACCGCCGCCGCCTGCCGCACTCACCGAAGTTAACAGTTGACCTTGCATCTTGAAGAAACCCGCTACCTGCCGGATACCTTTGCAGCACTTGTTAAATGGACCCTGTATCCTTCTGTATGGCCATGAAAAACTTGAAGGCGTTTAATTGGACTGGTCCTTCACCAGCTGCCCGCTTGGGCCTGATCACCTCTCTGATGGGTTTCCCTTCCAATTGGCTCTACGCACTTAGGGAAAACTTCCTCCCCTGGCAACGCAGGCCGCCTGAAAACAAGCCCACGGGCTAAACATTTTAAGAAACAGAATGAAGTACATCTTTCCATCAGAGAACAAAGCAACCACAACCCAGTCGTTGCAAAAATTAAGCAAAAACAAACAGGAACACCAAGCAAAATACATGCACTCTAACCACATGATAACGGCCTAGTACACGCTCGGAACACTTTGCGCTTGACGTGTTCGAGGGCCTGTTTTGCGGATGCCCGGCGTCAAGGAACTACATGAGATCATGTTCAGCAAAAAGTATGCAAGCAATACTAGAATTAGTAGAACCGATCCGGTCATGACACTGCAGCAGGCAGTCCGGAAGCATAGCAAAATGATCCACTTAAAGGCAACCTGAGGGGTAGTCTTCGTCTGAATTAGCACGCTTCGTCTCCTTGCAGTGGCCATTCAATATACCGTCCGTTTGTGTGGGTTTGACTAAAAACAGGATATCAGACCCTGAAAGCTGGGTCTGGCTTCTAAGGTTTGAGGGCTACTAAACATAGAGATCAAACCGACTTAAATTTCAGGCGCAATCTCTACAATCTTTATTCTCGAAATGAAGCAGCGTCGGATCTGGCCGATGTCACTACTGCATGGCTTGTCGGAGTTTGTTTTTCCTGTTCATGACAATTGTTCATGGTCCGCACCACGTGTTGCAGGAGTGCAACTCCGGAGTTGCGGCCGCAAAGCCGTTTGGCAAGAGCAACCCAGGACTGCACATGTGGCCCATTCAGCCGCTCAGGCCGACGGTCGAACATCTGGAGTCGGTTTAGTCACAATGGCAATAGCAGATGTTCTTCAGCCCATCCCCAAACTCAGCTCCACCGGGATCCCGTTGCTCCGCTTTCACCTTCCCCAAGTCACTCACTTTGCAAGTCACATCCAGATATTGAACTCTAGACCCGTTCCAGGAGCAAAGCAGCTGCTAGCACTGCAATCCTGCAACATCACCTCCACATGAAGGCGTGGACGCTCCTTCGTGGGAAACACCAAAGACGAGAAAACCCTCCTGGCCAGTTCACGGTGTCGGAGCATGCAGAAACCATATGAGAAAATCCACCTCTCTGGGCAGGAAAAAGGAGCTTGCTGAACCTCGCACCTTCCCTAGGACCACACGCCGAACCCTACAACCGTAGAAACTCATAAACCCGATGATAAGCACCATAAACCCTAAACCCTCTACCCCCCATAAACCCCCTCTAAACCACCAAGACTATAAACCCTATAAACCTTATAAACCGTAAACCCTGAACCCTATGCATGCGATAAACCCTAACCCCTCAAACCCCATCAACCCTACAAACCCTAAACCCTATAAACCTCAGGTTTCAGGCTATGGGATTTATAGGGTTTACAGTGTTTGTGGGCCTTTTAGGGTGTAGGGTTTATAGGATGTTTAGTGCTTATAAGGTTTCGGGTGAAAAGTTTCTAGTGTTTATGGGGCTGGTAGGTTGATAGGGTTTAGGTTTATAGGGTGTTTCATGTCTTTACACTTTTCTAGGGCTCATAAGTTTAAATGTTTGTGTTTGGGGGTTACGGTTTATAGGGTGTATAGGGTTCAGAGGGTTTAAGGTCAATACATCTAGGGTTTATGATGTTTCTAGGGTCTGTAGGGTGTAGAGGTTATTTTGCCACTTGCATGGCCATGACAGCATCGCAAGGTACATGCCGGGTGAAGCACAGCTCCCAGGACAAGGAGACAGCCGAAAACAGGCAGAGCCATGCAGGGCACCATCCAGGACCCAAGCCGAACTAGATCCCAGAAATAACTAGATCTCGAAGATAACAAGTAGCAAGAAACAATGCAAACAGTACCCATCACAGCCCTGCCATCAAAAGTACTCCACAAGCCTAGCTCACAATCGCAGCTCATGCCAACTTCACATGCCACATCAGCCATGCTGCAACCACACGACCCCATATACCAGTAAGTTATAAGCCCTGTAACATAGCCGACGGGCCCCACTCATCAGAGGTCTTGCACCGAATTAACACGCAGTACAGAGCCAAGATCGCCCTCCATGCTGGATCTGTCAGCCAGGTGTAGTCACGAGACAGGCGGGCATTGAAAATGCATTTCAAAGGCCTACTGCTTTTCCAGGAGAGGTTCGTCTCATGAGCCCGCAACCAAAACGGGCTGCCGCTCCCGTACGTACCCCTCTTCTCACAGCCCCAACACGATGCCAAGGATCCTCCCGTACCTGCAGTACTGGACAGCACATCCAGTGCACATTGCCAAAGACCCGTAAGAATCTCCAGCGCACGTATTGCTGCCACGCAGTGGGAGCTGCAAACTGTCTTCGCAGAGCACCAAAGGCGTTATAGGGTGTAGGGTGGGTAGGGCTTATAGGGTTTGCATGGCTTTTTAGGTTTATGGGGTTTACAGGGCTTATCATACGGTTGATGAGGTTTAGAAGGTTTACAGGGTGCGTTGTGTGATGTTAGTGCACAGTGTCTCTCAGACGACCGCGGCACAGAGAGCGGACTCGGCGAGACATTTCTCAATTAGGATGGTTTAGCAATTGCACTCTTGAGCTCTCACTACATTTCAGTTGCTGCACCAAGAGCATTCAAGAGAACACAGACCTCTTCATTTTTTAGCAAAAACATTTGTACAGGTCGCTGTTGCAAAACAAGATTTGGGGCTGACATTTCTTAATCGAAAAGGGGGTTATGGGGTTTATTTTTGTGTTTCGGGCTGGGAATTCATAGTTGTAGGGACTTTGAAACTCCGAAGTGCGTTTGTGTTTCTTTTTGTGTGTTCTCTGCAGTATGCAGTCGACCTATGATCGGACGTGCATCATCACCTGCGAATGGAGGATTACGTATCCCTCTGAGATTTCATGCCAACGTTCATGTCCTCATTGATGCTTGATGGGTGCGCTCGGGTTTAGGTTAGAAGGACTTTCCCTGTTAGACAACAGAGCATCGATGTCGCAAAGTCTCCGTGTCCAAATCATTGACATCGTACAAGTGATGTTCTTGTTGAGGAGTTAATGCCACTGGAACCCACGACTCCTGCCAACGCCGAGTTCAAGCACTGAATCATACCCTGTTTGAGCAGGGTCTGGGATCTCGCTCGGTACCCCTTGTATCTAAGCCGGGTAGAAATCAGATCATCCAGGACCATCCAAAAGCCTGAGGTCTCCAGAATGCTGCTGCCCAAGCATTGGCCAAATGCTGAAAACTCTGAAAATTGCGAGTGCCAAAGCAATTACAGGTCCCTGAAGGCTCTTGCAAAAGCCATTGGACTCCAGAAAGCTTTCGCTGCTTAAGCAATTAGAGAGCCATTGTTAAAGCGAGGAGAGAAGAAGCGCTCTGCGATCAGAGAAGAGGGCTCCAGAATGCTGTAGCTTAAGCCGTTAGTGCTGAAAGCTTCCTAGATGCCTATGCTAAAGCGACTAGTGAGGCCAGATTGCCTGAGGGCTGGTCTAGAATGCTTCTTTGTTTGCGGGGTGACGGTCCAGAACTGATTGATCAATCGACGTGGGGTTACTGCGGAGTCAACATTACACACAGCCCCGCAGCAGCAACAACAGCAGGAACAACCACCGCCGCAACACAAGCAACGACACTGGCTAGCGCCGACAATATGCGGGATGACGCCCACAACGACGTTCCTTTACATGCTCATTCAGCGGCGTAGGATCTTACTATGCAAAAGCTTTGCACGGCAAGGTGCTGATAACCACCATAGCCATAGCCACCACCATACCCTCCCTGCATGATGGGCAAGGAGCGGCCTTACAAAACTAAGAGAATACTGAACCCAAATCAACTGCGGTGGCAAGGTTCAACGGCTTTGAAGTGGAAATCAATCATGTCTGATATCTGCTCGTCAGGTGGTGCTGCTGCCACTGCTCTGCTCCATGTGTCCTTTTTGATCACCAAGCAATACCAAGCACATTTGCAGATCTGCGCAAGCATGCGCAAGCGTCAAGTTGGCAGAGAATGAAGCAATCTCGGCATCTTCTTGCCAAGGCTCACGGCAGCAAATACTATGTACACGTATGCACAGGCGCTGCTTCGCTGGTTCTGGAAAGCTGTGTAGATGCAAGACAGGACACAAGCGAAGCAGCACAGCACCATAAACGAAGGCAGACCCACGCGGTGGAATGCCCAGCCCTAGATGGAGGACACTGTGTCGGGTCCCCGAAGCTCTCCGACAGCACATGCGGGACAACGACTTGACCTCCAAAGCCATGAAGTGTTTGCTACATCGAAGGAGGCCCATGGCCCAGTTCCATGCTTGCTTACGCAGTATACTACTTGCACCACAGAAAACTCCTTGATCAGGTGCTCAGGTCGCCACTTGATTGGTTGAGCCAGGCCAGCCTGCCTCGCATATAGACCATTGGCCGTGAGCCCTGCGGCTAGCAGCCTAGCAGTTGCACTGCACCAATGCCAGGCCTTCGACGTTCACTCCCCGGTACCAGTGGCGTACTCATGCTGGCCGCGGAGCTTCCTGATAGGAGCGAGGGAGCAAGGCAGAAGCGTACATCTGTCTGGTTCCCTGGTTGACTGCGAGCCTTGCCCAAATGTTGCTCTGCACACGGTGCCTCTGGTAGATAGCTATACTGTGGAAAGTCTCAAGCTCCCTACATGCAGCTTCGCTGCAGGTTCTCGCTTGACGTACATCGCACACGCGGAGATCCATGAAGTCCACTCCAAGCCTGCTCCCAGTTGTCGTATCACTTGTTCGATAGAGTTCAAGCCTGCTCGAGGCTCGCACACCGCACAGCAGGTGCCACAAGTTGCCGCAAGGAAGTCCATGGGGGCACTGCAGGCAGGGCACACCTGGTGGACTTCTCATGCAGAGCTGTGCACCAACTGCAAGACTGTTTGGGCATGCACCGTGGCCATCTCCGTACCCATGCACCCAGAGAGATGTCCATGACGCGTTGTTGTCACAATGTGCATCGCCTCAGTTGACACATTGCTCTTCATGGATCTTGCTGGCTTACTCAGACTTGGCCTGCTTGCGCTCCTTGCCATCCAGGAAGGCATCATGCCGCTGCAGCAGGACCTGCAACTCCTATCCTCTGACAGGCGCAGTACCAGGGGGGGTGTGAATGAGGCTTCCTTGCGTGCCTGTGCCACTTGTTGGGCAGCGGCCCATCCACCAGCACCATGTGCAAAATGGAAAAGACTGTCCTCAGCCATGAGGACACCATGGGATCGTGTCTGGTTGTAGCACAAACGGCCGTGGATGGCACCATCGCGCGGATCAAGAGTTGGACTGTATGGCACGGCGCCTCGCATGTGGCACAGCTTGCAGACTGCACATTTCAGTCCAATGCCTTCTTCACCTGTTGTATTGCTTCGGGATACTTGAAGATTCCATCGAGCTAGCAGCGCAGAATCACAAGGAGGGTGAGCTTGTCTGGAGACATTTGCTTACAAGACCTGATTCTAGCTTAAGGCCTTGAAAAGACTGAAAAGCAACACAGCAGAATGCGTTTTGGTTCCCTTGCCCTGACCTGACTATGCATGCCACATTTAATGCAGCTCAACAAGGCAACTGTTTGGAGTTCTGCTGGTGTGCGGCTGGGTTGTGGCACACGCAATAGGTTCGCCAGATGACGTGGTATCTGCCGCAAAGGCGGCAGACATGTTCTCATGCAGCTCAAGATGCCAGACAGGCAAACCTCACGCTCCTCACTGAAAGCACAAAACCACGGAACCCGCAGACGCCTTGGTCAGCCGCAGTACAGACTCCCACATCTGGCATAACTCGCGCTTCATCGGCAAAGCACCATCCTGATTCTTGCTTCCGCCAGGCACACACTATAGGATGCAAGCAAATCTAACGAAACGTAGCTGCACCAGAAACCATAGGAAACCATGGCTGACCTTCAGGACCATGTCCTGCTTGACCTGGGAGGCAGGCAAGCTGCGTGAAAACCTTAGGTGAGAACGGCACCATGAATTCCTAGAAAGGCCTGGATCTGCTGGAGCAGCTGGGAAATGTTCATATAGTTTACCAGCGCCTCCAGTCCATTCTCAGCCGGAGCACCATGTGAATTCTAAATATTTCAGGCATCGGTATGACTGCAAGTGTGCAACGAATCCACGTTGTCTCTAGCCTTAGCCCTCAGCTGCCCCTGCTTCCCACCTGCAGCCGGGGACGAACTGCTGGCGATGAAGCCACCATGCCTGCCAAACATTGTGCTGCAGAACCGATTTGATTCCCCTTTCTTCGGCAAAACCTTATCCCTATGGATACCACCTAACTGTGCAGGTGGCTGAAGCACTCCTGATTTCAGAAGTTGTGCCATGCAACACTTGAAGGTGGCCGAAGCAAATCCGTACTCCTGCGCAGCCAACGCGCGAAGACAAATTCAGACTTGGTATCTCGGCTTCCTGGCGGTCCAAAGCAGCCACGGCGACAGCCAGCGAGGCATCCAAATGGACCGCTGCTTTCCCTGGCCTGAGACACTACAGGTCTTCTTGGGGCAGCAAAGCGAAGCCTTGCAAGAAGCCCCGCTGTGAGCCGCGCCAAGGTGGCAGTACCTCCAGCAATGCGGGGGCCTTGGCCCGCGCCGGAGCCACCGGTGGCGAAGGAACTGGCGAAGGAACTGGCGAAGGGATCGGCTCAGGTTTCCTGGAAGATGAAATGAAAACTCTAGCACATGGCAGATCAATTGCTCCTGGCCGCAGGCTTCCTGCTAGGGAGCAGGTCATCTGGAAAGATGCCACCTGAATTCACGTCTCTGTCCAGCCACGACTGTGCTTAATTCATATGGTGCTTGATGAGAGAACGGGATGAACCAGTGCGTGAGAGACAGGCAGCAACTGGAGGGGAAAAAATAGCACCTGCAAATTATCAAACAAACAGGGAGGACGAAACAACAAGTGAAGACTAAATCCAGGGGGCATCAGCAATCATAAATCCAAACGGCCTCAGCAATCATGGCCACCCGAACCAACGGGACGGGACAAGGACTAAACCATAGAACAACCGAGGAAGAACAACACCACAACAAGAAAGGAAGCAGTAACAACACTCACTTACCACCAGTACGGCGCGTTGAACATATTTGTTCTGCATTCTTCTGCATTAGACCAGACATGTTTCTTCAACACTTCACCATCATGCTCATGCAACTGATCACAACGGATGAAACCAGAACCAGACTGAACTCGATGACATTCGCTTCCGACGGCACCACCACATCCTCTTCCTATCACCTGATCCTGATGGGTGAAGCTCAGGTCAATCTCCTGTCTTGACCTTTCGTGGTGGCTGGACCTCAGGCCCCTGCGATCTGACCCCGTGACGGACACACTCTTACGAGGCAAGCAGGTGCCATTGACACAAGACTCACAAGACAGCACTAACCACCCTAAACCAGCACAGCAAACATGGATGAACATGAATGAAAATTTCAACTTTAAAGGTATACCAGACACCAGGAATGGCATACCTGTAACACAAAATGAAATGAGTGTGTGCGGTATGGGTCCTGCCCCGCTGTGCTAGCACGTATGAGATGAAGAAACAAACAGGGGGTGGGGTCCCTCGCGGGACCCATGAGCGGACTAGTGTGGGTACGTTTGCCTGGGACAGGGTGGCTTCGTTGGACAGGGCCTGTCCCCCCACAAAATGAAACAATCTCCACAACATGCAATAACAACAGCAATAGCAATCATGTGGGGAGTGATTGCATCTGCACAAGATGCAGCTGGAAATTCAAAGCAGCACTACCACACAAAACCTACTCATGTGCGGCCGCACTGCGTGCTAAGCTTCGCACGTGTTTTGTCCAGCCGCTCAGACACCGGGGAGGCGGACATCAAGCCAGGACGTGGCCTGAGTAAAGCATTGGGGGCACGAGAAGTGGAAAGGATCTTGCTGCATCGTCGCCAAACTGATCATTTTCTAATAGGCATGCGGCACATATTGCGCGGCCGGTCCTTTGCCGGGTGGCCAGCCGCTTCCACCGGACCAAACCTCCTGGACTAAAGCGCTCTTTTCGAGCGGCTCACTAGTTGGAGAGATTTGAGCATCGGTGTTCTGGGCATTCACCTGACCTGCGTTGGCCCCTCTCGCGGCCTGAGCAGCTGCTACGGTGCTGGATGAAGTCGCGTGAGTTGCATTATCGAGTGAGGCCGTCTCGTCACCAAAGGGGACTTTGACTTCGCCAAGCTTCGGAAGTCGCTTATTGCCTCCAGATGCCAGCCCTTGAGGGTCGAATATTTCAGCCCAATAGAACCAGCGTTTTGGCTTGGACGGATCCAGTCTCTCAGCAACTCGCCTTGATTCGTCAAGGATGCGAGCCCACTGGGTTTCCCCAAGCATTGATGCAATGTTCTCATCAGAGCCTTGCGTCAGTTGAACTGGATCCTGTATGTACAAGGGCGGCGGTGGACGCGCCGCATCAGCTTGAGCTGGAGGTGCCTCACAATCATTTCCCTCCATCAGCGAAATGCCGCTTGGTGTGGCGGCTTGCAAAGCACAGACATACTGAAAAAATCTTAGAAGCAGGTCCATGAGGCTGGGGATAGGCGTCTGGGAGCCTTTCCAGTTCCCACGCTCTAACAACGTTTGCAAAGGTGGGAGGTAGTTTTCGCGCTGCAAAAAACATAGAACAAGAGCTGTCCATGCGACCCCGTTCATGTAACCTTCACGGTGATCAGCCAAGCCATGGTTCATGGCCCATAGCTTCACTAGCCGAATCAAATCTCTGGCCTTGCCGCAGCAATCACACAGACTGCAAAGCATGGAATCTAGCGACTGCTTCACAGGGGTAGACCAGACCAGAAGCAAGTGTGCATGAAATCGCGGTGCAGGACCTTGCGCTGAAGCCTTGAGGCTAGCCGACAGCATACATTTGGCATGAGGGAATAAACGTGTTGAATCCAAAGCCACCAAGTGTGTAGAATGCGGCAGTGTACCGAGCCGTGCCCAAAGTCGAGGCAATTTGGCGTCAACTTCCTCTGGACTGAATCCTGATACCCTGCAGGCCACGTCCAAATCTGAGCCGTTGAGCTCGGTACCTTGAGCACACGAGCCGATGATCTCAAGGCTGGCACCCTTCCCAAGGCCTGTCTGGAACTCCTGAGCGCAAGCAGCCCTCAAAAGAAGAAGAGCCCGTTGGCAATCTCGTTTGTACTCCTCTGTCGGCTGCAGTTTTTTCAAGAGCTCTGCCAACTCTAGCTCCATCCCTTGAGTTTTGCTCGCGATGATAGCCTGCCTCAGCTCCTGATCACTCAAGCTGTCCTCCTCCCAAGTTGTGGCCTCCTGGCACAAAATATGTCAAGCCGCCAGTCAAACCAGAAGACTCAACACTAAAGTGAAAACTGCAAGTTGTCGCAAATCACTTGGTTAATGTTGGAGCCTAATTAGTGCGGGAGGGCCCCCCAACAAAAAGGGGAGCCTCTATTATAGTCAAAAGGCCTCACAACAAATTGAGGGACTGGGGGATCCTATGGATCCTATTGAGATGAAAAAAGGAAGAGGGATCCTGGGGCTTCTATTGAAGTCATGGGCAGGGTCCTCGGCCTTTATGTTGAAAGGCCTGGCCTCGAAAGCCTAATAACTGCAATTACAACCTGATAAAGAGACCGGATTTGCAACAATTAAAAACAATTTAGAAACTGTCTCACCATCAATCCAGCCACAAAACCTTTACAGTACTGAGCCCCTTTAAATCTAATAGCTTTCTGGTCCTACAATTAACCTGCAAAACAAACGTTACATTCTTTGCGCCCCCAAATCATTCATATAATTGAGGATCAGGGGCCCTGAGAGACTACCCCCCCTTGGAATTTGATTGTCTAGTCCGTTCGAACACGCAGTTTAATAAGAAATTTGCTGGTGAAATCAAATTCCAGATTCGAGAGGTAATGGAGCCTGTTCTTTTCATGTAAAGGCCTGGCATTAAACCAGAAGCATTTTTGCCTCAACAAAACCTTCCCCAGATTTTTTCCGCCAGCAAAAATCCTTACTTTATTTACTAATATTTATTGGGACCCCAAATCGAATGACTAATTTTCTGAAACCTTACTTTACTGGGGACCCCCGCACTAGTCGGATTCGACATTATGTTCCACTTCACATGCTGAGACTACAGCCTCGCAGCTTTACGTGCAGTCCCCAGAAATTTCAATACCCGCCAAAAATGAACTTGCATGGTCAATCCTTGGAGGTGATGCCCTGAGTGCGTCGTCGGCTGTGCCATGGCGCAGGCTCCACCATCTCACTTCGTGCTTCCGGGGAGCTGCCCCGAGGAGATGCCGGAGACGCGGACCCAGCGGATCCATGCTTTGGCTTCGGAGCCATTCCCTTCGGCTTTGGCGTGTCCAGCTTGGCACCATTCGATGCTTCTGCATTCGGGGCCTGCTTCGCTTCCATTGCCCAGGCTTTAGATGTGGGTGCACCAAACGTTGTTCGAGGAGCCTTGCTTCCCTGTGCTCCCGATCCTGGGGACTCCTCTGCGAGCTTCCTTCGCCCCAGAGAAGCAGGAGGCGCTTTGGGTGCAGACTTGCTTGTCGTTTTCGGAGCTTCGTCTTTGGGCAACGGGCTTTGGGTTAATGTAACCGTAGACCCTTCCAGACTGAATAGGTCTGGGTATTTCGCCAAGAACTTTCTGATGTTGCCCAGGCCTTGAAGATCGTGTTGGCCCCACTTGACTTTCACTGACAAGGATGTCATCAGGGCAGCACCACCCTCTGCCTCAAGTCCATCCTTGAGGATTTCCACTGCCTTCCTCTCCATGGAAGGCAGCCAAGCTCACATTTGGCTAAACTGGCATGGCAATCATTCTGACATAGCTTGGGCCCTAAACGATGGCATTCCCACATGTCATGATGCCCGCAGGATTAATGCCAATGTTTCGAACATGACGCCAAGCAATGCAAAAAAAAAGGCACATGGCAGCTAGCTACGCATGCAGTGTGCGAGACGGCTGCGACTTAAGGAGCCCTGCAACCGAGCATACCAGAAGGTTTGCACAAATGCCAAGTCGCAGAGTTGCGTTGTCCACAGTTGACTTCCGGGCCTTTGATCGCAACACACTCCCAAAAAACTTTAAAAAAATCTTGTGACTCTGCAGCCTCTTCAAGCCTCTTTCTTTCCATTACGCCTGGTCTGCAAGGAGCATAGTATGGGCAACAATGAATGCGCGGCGCTGGCCTTGCAAAAGCCGGCCCACACGGGGAATCGCAGCGGTGGCAGTTGGGCAAACCTTTGCGACTGGCAGTTCTGGTGGCTCCTGCCAAGCAAGCCTTCACAAACTGGCTGTCACATATCGAATCGCTCCTTAGCATCAATCTGAACGTCCGTCTTTGGTAACGTTGCTGGAGTCGACGTCGGTGGCGATAAGGGCTGCGGTGATGCTTCCAGGTCTTTCACGGGGCTCTCGATGCCTGGCTTGCAAATCACTGTATGGCCACCGGGTCGGTAAGCAAGAACGTGAAGATCAGACTGCACGTACGCCGGGGTATACGGTATACTCAGGCAGCCTCAGCAGCACCAGCACCAGCACCAGCAGCACCAGCAGCACCAGCAGCACCATCACCACCAGCACCAGCACTAGCACTAGCACTAGCACTAGCACCTGAGGCTGAGCGGTTTGGGCTCTTGTGAGCTGCTGGGAATGAAAGTGCTTCCCCCTGTGCCTTTTCCCTTCATATCCCATGATGAGCAGTGAGAGGGGTGAATTCAAACCCCCTGCCCCCCCAACCACTCTGCATCTGGGCTTGGAACATCTTTTGAGCGCACCGACGATAGATACAGCGAAAGTTGTAAGCAACCGCAGAGAAAAAATAAACACGCACCCACACACAGACCTCAAACCCTATCTGCTGCCATTCTTGGTGGCGGTTTGCAAGTTGGCTTGAGATGTTGGCCTCATATATGGCCGTCCCTCCATACGGAACCTCGAACGATTTTCTACCATCACGCGTGACGGAGACATGCCCTTCGGGGTCAGCCCTTCTGCTGCCGTTCTTGGTGGCGGTTTGCAAGTTGGCTTGAGATGTTGGCCTCATATGGCCGTCCCTCCATACGGAACCTCGAACGATTTTCTACCATCACGCGTGACGGAGACATGCCCTTCAGGGTCAGCCCTGTTGCGCAAGAGTGCAAGGAATCCTTCTAGCTTTGGAATCTCACAGCAAAGCAGAGCAAAGAGCCTCCGCAGGCGGGCCATGATGCCTGACTGCATTTTCTCTCAGTGGGAACGGTCCACACTAGGGTCTGAGCTTCAGAACCTCGAATGCAGGGGGGGCATCCGCGGCAGGCTCAGCACTGGCGCTTGGCCAAAAATCCGGCGATGGCGAATCCAAGCCTGCGATTGGGTGTCTAAGTAGGCAAATATGTCGTTCCCCTCTAGGCAACACGGAAAGCACCCTGGCACATGAAAGCTCTCCCATCTTAACTCAAGAGATCGCAACCTCCAAAGCCTGTAGGCCAAGAGGTTTTGACCTCGTACAAGAATCAAGTTCAACACTGAAGCGTGATGTTGCTTAGCGCGCCTGCTGCTCGAGCTGAGAATCTGCTTCGGTCCGTCTGCTCCGATTGCTTCCTCGTTACGAAAAACGACACTCAACTTGCCCTGTGTCATCATTAAGTGGCCTGGCTTTGGCATGGCAGAAATGTCCCACAGCCTGACGCCAACAAGTATCCAAGCGCAGTACCTTGTCTGAGAAATGTGGCAAGGACCCAGGCCCAAGTGCATCTCCTGCAAGACTGGACACACACCCCTTGCTGTTGCAGTTGGGACCATCGGATCACCATCAGCGAACAGATGCCGCCTTGATCCTGCGCTACTTCAGCAGCAGCACGGATTTTGACCTTCACGAATCCATGTCACAAATGCAAACTGAACCTGATCGGAGGTAGCCAGTCAGTTCCCCTTCGCGCAATTCTGTTTGAATGGCGCCTGTCCTAGCCCTTTCCTAAATTCCATTTTTTGCTCTCCAATCTACAAAGTGAGCTACGCGAGGGCGGCTGCAGTTTTTCCCTGCGGTATGCATACCTTCAACTATCAGATGCAGGTGGTTTGGCCGACTTTGAGCCATGCTTCATTAAGGCTCTCCACTACCCTATCACTAACCACACCTTCGACACAGTGGCCAGGCCAAAACTAAATAGAGCTTAACGAGCGCAAGCTCCAAGCGCATAGCGTGAATGGAAAGAGTTGGCCAGGCAGCACTGGCCTTCATTGAAGACGACCCTAGCCGTGAAGAAACACCATTCCCAGGTCCAGATTTGGGCCGCTTCGAAAGGCTGGCATTTGTTGAATTAACCCAGCGGATGCCATCTAGGAAAGGGAAAAGCTGGCACCTAGCCTAGGACTGCATTAAGGCAGTCATCGTCAAAAGAGATGTAAGAAGCAAACAGGCGATCACCATCATTCATTTCACGCACGCCGACACGCTCAATAGAAGCATGCCAAACATTGACCGGGCGAATCAGTCTACATGCAAAGAAAGGTTTGTCTTGCCAACTGGCCGAACTGAGCTAGCAGAATCAAAAACAGCCGGGAACGGCTTGATCCACTGCCAAGCAGGGGAGGATAATGACAGGTCATGAGCATCACGGAGAGCGCAGAAATCAGAGAAGCATGTTGGGTCCTTCTAGGATATGCAAAGTCTACTTCCAATTCGTGTAAAATGACATGAAGATGCTACAAGCCAACTGTCCCATCACACAGGACTAGGCAGTCAGATTGCGCTGGGCTTAGCAGACCCTGGCAGCCTTCTTCCATGCCTCCCCCCGCAGCTCGCCTCGTTTTCACAGCTTGCAAAATACTTGCCAGTCACAACCTCGACTCTCTGAAATCGCATGGGTCCGATTACGCCAAGGAGCTACTGAGAACGGTGTCCAGACATTGGCGTTGGAAGTGAAGGAGGTCATTGTTCGAACGGTAGACGCCCCACACTCGCACCTGCACACATGACACAGAAGCAGGTTGCTGATGTTGCTGACGACAATCTACCGCGCAAACTGAGCTCGCGTAAGACGGTCTCGTTCCGCCAATGACTCCGGCAAAGAGTCGCTGTTTTGCTAGCTGTACGAATATCGAGGTACCCTGATGCACGGCAGAGACGTGCCCTGACCAGTCCGCATTCTGTTTGAGAATGTGACGCTGCATCTGCTTCTCTTGCAACCGAATCTGTGATGCTCATGCAGGTGCTCTGCTTGGGTCACATAGGAAACGGGTATCAGCACGCAGCTCAAAAAAGACCTCTGCTGCTGATCTGATCGAGCAACATTTGCAGTGGATCCAAGCGCGCACGCAGATATCTCTAGTTTCAACTCTCCTAAGCCGCGCAAGCTTTCCTGGCGCTTAGAGTGGCTCGTGTCTCCTGCCGTACTGCACTCAGAGCATAGCCTGGCCTCAGTGATGTCCAGATCCGCAGGGCCCAGCGAGATGTTCGCCTTGCCCATGAGATCTTCAGATGCGTCACCACTGCGTCACCCTTTGCATGCCGTCAGGCCTCGCCTCTAGGGCAGCAGGTGGCAAGGAGCCAGTCAAGCTGATGATCTCTTGACCATCTAAGCACACCTCGTGGATCCAAAAAAGATTAACTTGCAGACACGTTCAAAAATGTTCCAACTTACGCGGCACCTCCAGCGACCTCAGGTCAGACCTCAGGGCTACATGAGCCCACTCGCCGTGTGGCAATGGTTCACCTTCAGTGCAGAATTTGGATTTACGAGTTGCAGATTTGGCCCCAATAGCTGTGTCAATGGCAAGCTGGGTATCAAGCAAGCCCCCTCCAAAATCGGAGATGTTTGTCCCGAAGCCGAGAGGACAAAGCCAGGCCGACTGCAAGGGCTAAAGCGGGAAAATCCAATGCAACGACATTATTCATCATCATCAGAACTGACAAGCAGCCAGGAGGCAGCCTAGGCCGATAATGGAGGGACCAATGCTGACTGGAGTGAGCACGTCGCAACAGCAAAAGGTCCTGCCCCGAGACATTCAAGTCTACCTACCCTGCAGCAAGGTGAAACACTCCATTCCATCCTGCTCATTTGAACTCTTGCTGCGCATCCAGAACTCCACCTCGACATTGCAGCTTTGCCCGCACCGCCGAAAGGCAACAAACTGAGCTGAGGTTTGCGCGGTCCAGCCTGGAGTGGCAGCTTCAGCCTCTCTGCCACTGCATGCCTCACTTCTCTTCTGTCACGCGATGCCTCTTCCGGCACATACATGTCACAACAAATGCTACCGTCCGCTGCAGAGCGAAGCCCTCCGCTGGGACCAACCAGGCGTGGGCATATCTTGCTCGCTTCAACCTCCTTTGCTCTGCAGAGGGCAGCTTTCCCCGTGGGATGAAGGTTTTGTGCCTGCTGCATGGTTTGAGACCACAGCCAAAGGTGAACCCGCAAGTAGAAGCACGAGTTTCGATCACTTCCGGAATGAAACAGGGCTCGAAGATGCAAGGCCATAAGTGCCTGCTGGACGCTCTAGTACTATCATGAGTAGAACCTGAAAGCGACTCTTGATGCAACATGAAACTAAAAAAATCTAGGCAGCTTGGAACTGCATAAATCTCCGGGACGATATGAACTTCAGGAAGCTGCCTGTTTGGGTCTGGATCTGGGCATGCCGGTGGGCATGTCGACAGTCGACGAATGCACGTCCCAAGGGCCTTTGAAGACAACCAATACTTGCCTTGTTCGAACTCCGTGGGCCCTTGCTCTCCCAAGCCGCCTGCAGCAGCAGCATCGGCAGCAGGTTTTGGAAGGAGCAACATTCCATG